TTGATAGTGTGTCCCTTCCCTTTTGTGCCTCTACGTGTTTTCAGCTATACACACCTTTACACCAGCCGCCACCACCACCACCACCACTACTCCTACTAATACTACTACTAATACTACTACTACTACTAGTAATAGTAGCAGCACTGCCATTTCCTCTACCTCTGCCACAGGTAAGACTACAGTCAAAGCATATGCACTGTCTGAAATTTAGAAAACCACTATATTAAACAAAATCCCATTTAAAAAATCAGAGTCAGCTTTATTGGCCAGGTGTTTTGGACACACGAGGAATTTGACTCTGGTACATCGGCTCTCACTGTATGTACATATCCCCATGCAAGGGGCAAGTAAACAATAAACCAGCATAAGGCTGTGCAATGTAACAAAAATAATCAGTATTAACAAGCAACAATCAGGGCAAACAATGCAAAATAAGCAGTATAGATGGGTAGTAAACAATGCAGACAGACAAAGGAATGCTCATTGAGATGAAAAAAGGCGTTATGTCTAGTGAGAGATACTTGGTTCCTGGCTGGTTGTTAATCTGTGTGTTTAGTGGGTTAGGTGGTTTGCAATTAATTATTTTCATTCTTGTTCTGGCCTTGGAGGCTTCAGCAGCACTAGCATAACTGAAAAGTCATTACTGCAGTGTTGGTTAGTGATGGTTCTGATCATAATCTATGGTTTCTATATAGTTTTAAATGGGTAATATCACTTGGGCCTGTTGCTGCTGTAAGGTGTCCTGTTGACTGACATCTGTCTGAATTTGTAGAGCACATCTCTTGAATGTAGCAGCAGCATTTAAATGTTTAACACAAAATATAAGTGAAGAGTATATAGGGTTAGATGTGCCACATAAGAAACATGGTCTTCAACATGAGTTCATGTTTATTTTATTTGATTTTTATTACTGTGTCAGCTTGAAACCAAACAACCATGTAGTGTAGTCGAACAGGAATGTGCATGGCAAATCAAATTCCAAACAATCCATAACCCAATGACCCGTCTTGATTGCACTTCATTTCATTGACCACTAGATGTCCTACTCGAGCACTGTCATTGAAGCCTTGAGTAGTGAACCATTTTTGTGAATACTGTGTCGAAGCTTCAACAAAGCTTCATTGGCCATCACTAGGTACAGCCCATACTGTATATATCTTCTGCTTGTTATTATATCTTTAAACAGTATTTGCTTATGTGAAAATGAACAAAAGTGATCAGTAAAATCAGACATTCATTAAAACTATTGACATGGTTTACTGTCTGCAAACAACAGTGTTATGAGTAGTGTACTGTACATACACAGCACCCAGCCGCAAACACACATGCACCAGTGTGACTCTACAAAGCAGCTGATGCTCTAAATGCACTGAGCGAGTCTCCGGACTTCCATTAGGGTTGCTGCTGTGCGTGTTCTCTCTTCTTCTGCCTTCCCTCTCTCCTGTATGTCATGCCAGGAAACTTCCAGAAGAAGACTGTCCTGGATTGTTGTTCCTCCCAAAGCACCAGTTAAATGAAAGTAAACAGGGCTGCTTGGCCCTGCTACTCCAGGAAATGTCCATTGTGCTACTGACCACAGTCAGATTAGATGTTTAGCTTCAACTCAGCTTACTGTAGTCAGGCTTCTGCTGAAGGTCTAAACTGTGTGTGAGTGTGAGTGAGTCTATGTAGGTGTGTGCATTAGGCCTGTTGATATGAGTTGCTTATTACATCCTACCACCCACTGAAGACTGTGCTCATGTGGTTTTTCTCAGTCAAAGCAGGAACAGTGAACCCACCAGAGAACCCACCAAAGAAAATCAAGAAAGGTTTGTAGGTCATGCTGCAGATTCATCATTCATCATCTCACCGTCTGAAAGGCAAAAAGCTTCCTTCCACAGCGCCTCCCTTTCTCACCTCCCGGCATCCATCAGATCCTCCTCTCTCAAAACCTCAAACCATCACTGAATTGTTTGTCACCTTCACCCCTTCCTGTGCATGTTGTCATGCTGGTGTATAGGTTCTTTAGGTTCTTTAGGTTACCAGGTTTAAGTCACATGTTCACCTCTTCTCTTGCACACCTGAATGACTGTGCACCTTTCCTTCTTTAGGTTACCAGGTTTAAGTCACATGAATGATGCTAGTGCTGAAGTCCTTTTAGATGCATGGTTCACTGTACCTAAAGCACACATGGCGGAATGTTGCAGAGCCTGCACAGCGCAATCATATCCAAGTCTCCTGCCTTGTACATTCATCTCACTCAGAATCTAGTAACAGTTATTGACCCAGGGGTTGTTCTTGTGCTTTTTCTCCACCAGAGGGCAGTGGTGTTATAATTGCAGTCCTCATCATTTGCATCCTGCTCCTGGCCATCCTGGGGAGCGTGCTTTACTTCCTCTACAAAAAGGGCAAGATCTGTGGCCGTTCCGGCAAACAAAACATGTGAGTGCAAGAAGAGCAACTTTATGCATAAAACATACGATGTCTTAAAATATGAGGAGCTACGAGAAAATGTGGCTAAAACCTATGTCATGATATAGTATTTAACTTCAGTGTACATATTGCTCAATTCTTACCTTTGAACAAAATTCAAGTGCAAAGTGCATCTGAACATCACAACATTATCATGCATGTGAAATGTATGGTAGTACTGGAAAGCAAATGTGATTTCTTTTCTCTTGCTTTTTGTCAAAATGTTACAATGTGAGGTCTCTGACAGTGGCGTAATTTGTTGTTTAAAGTTTTCCAGCATTACAGTCACACAATCATTATTCTGCCTTATATGAATGTTGGAATTACTTGAGTTTGATTTGAAATGTGGGCTTATGCTCTTTGTATCATTTTGAGAAGATGGCCACGGCATATTCTATTTTTGTTGAGATGTTGTTATTGTTTAATAATAACCAATAGAGTGTCACAGTGGTGAGTCCTGAAGCCTGGAACTGAGTTAGCATTTTTGCACTTCTGGTTCCCTCACCCTGAAGTCTATGGGCTTTTGGTTAGATGCCTGAAATAAGGTCTATGGTTAACACAAGACCAGTACATTATCACGATTTGTTCTACGATGTACACCAGTAAATACCCGGCTCATGATTTTTAAAGTTTTTACGTATCATAAAAAAGGCAGATGCTAATAAATGGCTAAATGAGACTACAGAGGCTGTCTGGGATATTGGCCGTCACCACGCAAGACACAGACTCACCTCCTCACTAACCTGCCTTTACAGCCTTGTTATGTTTAAACCTGCACGCTTGCAAACTATTCTCACTGACACAGCCATGGTCACTAGCTACATCAGGCCACACCAAGAGAAAAGGAATTAATAGAAGAGGTAAGCTCGTTAAATCAGACGACAAGTTGGAAGCCATGGAGGTGACGCTGAAGTCAGGGGACCGTGGTGTAGTTTGTTTATAGCCTAACAATAGCCTTTAACCTATCGATTGTATTTGAGCTTCAAAAATCATAAAAGTGGTGCTGACTTGTGAAGATGATCTTGCTGAACAAAATGTTTAACTATCAAACTGTTTGTCACAGATCTTATTTTCTGCAATAACCCAAAATCTATGAAAAAATCCCACTGGCTTTTTGTAGAGGGAGCCTAAAAAATACATCATTCCTACAACACTATTTATTTGAATGTATGTTGACTGGCCACTTTAATAGGTACACAGCTATTTGTATAAATTCAATTATATGTTTATTATTGAGCTCAAAGTTAAAAGTTGCCTTATACTGGAATACATTATATTCAGAGGTGTCTCTATATTTTTGTCCTCCCCGGCTACATGCATGAGAGGGTCAGAATATTAGGAATACCTCTGAATATAATGTATTCCAGTGTAAGGCAACTTTTAACTATGAGCTCAATAATAAACATGTAATTATAAGCTGAAAATGTTTCCTTATTCAATTCAGCTCATAAACACAGATGTTAAGGCCGAAGTGTTGCAATGAAGTGGAAACACTTGTACTGGTGTACCTAATAAAGTGGCCAGTTAGTGTATAATAATTCAGTGCTAAACGTATACAATGCCATGAGGTTTGGATAAACTTGCTGTGATGTATTATCAGGTTCTACAGATGTTTTTGTTTCGTAGGATGAGATTTTGAGGCCAAAATTAAGGATTTAGTCTTTGTGGTAAGAGTTTTGCAATGACTGAAAGATTTTGTAAAGACTGAACCAGGGCAATTTATCACAATATGGAAAATGCTGAATTGCAAAAAAAACCCTAATAACTCATTCCATATTGAATTTGAGCAGAGAATATTGTAAAAGAATAAACCTAGGTGATTCCACAGTAAATTGACAGATACTAAACTATGTTGCAGCTCTAATTGTAGCTCACTATGGTGGCACTGCTGAACAGCCCATCTCAGTGTGTATGCTTCTAACCTGAGCATGTTCTTGGTTTTACAGCACAAAAGAGAAGTCCAACAAAGATAACATTGTGGTGGAGATGAAAAGCGACAACACAGAGGAAGCTGTTCTGCTCGGGGTCAATGGAGAAAAACAACCTACCAGTGACCAGGTAGATATCTAAATCACATGACCACTCACCCCAACCGATCGAGGCAGAAGGCTGCCCACCAAGAGCCAGTGTCTGTCGGAGGTTTCTTCTGTTAAAGTGGCCATGGCATGCTCATTTCATGCTGTTTCCTCTAACCTGAATCCTAGCATTATCCTAACCACAACCACTGAGGGGGTGTCGCTACATGAAACTAAGTTTGAACAGGGGAACACTTTTCAACACAAGACTGGTTAGGAAGCCAAGACGGTACATAAACAAAAACACTGACAAATAAGCTATGTAAGACTTTACATACTGTAGTTTGGAAAAAAAAAAGTCTCATCAGTTTGCGAGACCTGTATAAACAGAGTTCCTTCTGCATAGAAGTATAACAACATAGGTACACCTTGTTTTTTAAGCTTTTAGTCACTTTCAAGACAATAATTCACTGTGGTAATATTGTAGATAAGTCAGAAAACAGAAAAGCATGCCATGGGCTCTTTAAAGGGGGTTTCTACTCCCCAGTGTTACCAAGTGCATGCCCAAGGGGGATTTGTTGAGTTTTTCCTCTATAATAATAATAATTATAAGGTCTAGACCTTACCATGTAAAGTGTATACAACTTAAACTCTGGAGGTGCCCGCGGTGAGAGGCGGCGGGCTGGGGGGGGGTTGCTTATAGCCCCCCCGCCTAGCTGCCATGTGTTGGAGGTT